TGTGGCGAACTATGTACCCGGCTGATGTTGTTGCGCCCTGTTTCCCTCCCTGCTGTATGCTATACTCCCTTATGTTTGTCCTTTGTATTGCCTTCGGCCTCTGTGCTGTGTTTCTATTTTTCATGACCTTCCTGCCTACTCTGCTGTGTTGGTTACCTTGATCTCGTTTTTGCTGTTGCTTTTGTTTTTGTACATCTGGCTGTCTGCCCATCTGCCGCCTCTTTGTCTGTTTGCTCCGTTAGTCCCATGCCCTGGTGCGTAGTTCCTGGTGCTGGTACGTTACCCTTTGATTTTTTCTTTAGGCGGGTGTGGGAAGCGTCCTTCTTTATTTTTGTCTTTGTTTTATTTTGATCGGTTTCCGAGGGCTCTTTTCTCGAACGGTCGGCACGATACCTGTTCATTTCTTTCTTATCATTTTGTTTTGTTTTTCCGAGTGGTTTGTACCCTATTTTTGTTTTGTTTCCCCGCGGCGTCGTATGTGCCGGGTTTTGAGACCACGCGCTCCCCATTTTTTGTGGACTAAAGAGCTAATGTGAGAAACAACAGCAACAACACACACACACACGCACGTACTTCCCCATGACGCTCGGTCACAGGGTCCCAGATTGTGGCCTTTGAAAGCATTGCGTGTTTTCACCAACAACGAGACTGTTATATTTTTCATTGGTTAACCGGTTAGAGCGGTCGATGCTAATAAGAAATGCACACACGCACGCACACAGGGCCTGCGCTACGGTATTGCCGACGCAGGTCGTGCAGGGCAAGCTGTGGGTGTGGCCGGACTCGAGTCCCGAGGGGGTCAAGGCCAGCGAGAGCGTGGCCCCGGTGGTCGTGCCCAACTTGGATCTGGTGAGACGAGCCATAAGTTTATTGCTGTTCCGCCTAAGTTCGTGCCATCCCGCCATGCCGTGCCCCTGCCGTGTTGTTTCCGGTGTGGCGACGTTTGATTCTTGCGGCACAACGTGGGGCTTTTCGCTTTTTTTTTTTTTTCTGTCCCAAAATGTGTGGTATGCATTTGTCTCCGAATCCGTTTGGTGGGTTCAGGGAACGAATGTCATGATGATTTGTGCGTAGTCTCGTTCATGTATGGCGCGTTCTTGTCTGTTTTTTGCCATCTGTGTTGTGTGGTATCAGCGGCGGCCGCGGCGACGGCAAGTGATCGTCTCGGCTGCTTACAGTACTCCTAGTGTAGAGCACCAAGTCGGTGGGAACTGTTCAAGTATAAGTCACGCGTCTATGCCCCCCACCTCCCCCCACACATCGATGATGACGGCTCTTTCTTTCATACCTTGTTTCGATGTTTTTAGAAAGTAGTCTAAACATAACCTCTCAGAAAGACTACCCTTTCGAGATATAACCTCAGTCGAAAGGGATGTGATATTTTTATTCCCTTTTTGTTTTTTTCTTGATTCGCAGGATAACGGGGACTGGGGCAGCAACTGGTACGCAAGGGACCTGGCGTACGGTTTCGACACTCTGGTGGAAAACCTCGTCGGTGAGAGAACAGCACGTAGAAGCGAGAAAAATTGGGCCAGGCCTCTAACTTGTTTTTTTTTCACGAAATCCGTGCTGCAAACTTGCGACAGATTTGTTGTTAGCGCTCTTGGCCAGCCCCTCGCCTAGAACCTTCCCACCACAGGTTTTGTTTGGCGAAGGTTTATTAGGTATTTCGGTACGTTCGTCTCGAAGTAAACACGACCGTGTCATGAGACTCGACCAATGGATGAGTTGTTGATCGACTGATAGGTGCGAGCCTGGCACACCGTATGCCAGTCCCAAGACGCCCACCTCACCATCACCATCGCTCGGAGGGTCCTGTGACCCCCCCTCCCCTCGATAAGATCACCCCCCCCGCGGTAAGAGTAGAAATACTGCTCCGTCTCGAGGAAACTGCGTGATCTGTGGTCAAATTGCCAAGGGAAGAAGAGAATGCGTGCCCCCCGCCCCCGCCCCCGCCCCCCCCAAAAAACGCCTCGTGTCCAGATCCGGCACACATCCCCTTCGCTCACCACGGCGTCATCGGTCAACGGGCTCAGGGTAGTCCGATGGCCATCGAGTTGGAAGAGCTGGCACCAGGTACAGTAGTAATTAACCAAAATGCTCGGTTGGGCCTGTTTTGTGTTGTCGTCGCCGTCGTCGTCGCCGTCGTAACTGACCAAAATACTAATTCGAGCCTGTTTTGGGGTATTTTCGACGTCGTCGTCTGCCTTTCCTGCTTAGCTAGCCAGTCGTGTGCTAAGTAGCTGGGGTGTGCTGCCCTTTACGCGCTGGCAGAAAGCCGCCCCCCCTTGCTTTGTGTTCCCGAGATGGGATGCCAATATAGGTGCCCTCAACCTCGGAACTTGTAGCCCGTGTGTCCCCCCAGCAATTTGATGTACGTTGAAGGGACGCTGCTGAAGGCTGCTTGCCGCCCGTGCGCTTAACTCTGGACCCGTGCTGTGCGTTTGGTCGAGATGGCCTGCATGAAGCGTTCGAGCACATGCACACGTTGAGGAAAACGAGTCTGCGCGATCCTATACAGCGGCAAGCAGCCTTTCCGCTCACCCGCCCAACCTCTACCTTTGCCCGGCCATGGCCTGCTCTCCGGCGTACAGCAGCTGTGCCTTCCCTTCACACACGCGGATACGCCGTGCGTTCCGGGACCTGATCTTGTGCTCTTTTTTTGGCGCGGTAGATGTACATACCGGAAGGGCATACTGCTGTACGAGCGGCCGCCCTTCGTTGTGCTTCCTCCCTCTCAAATGCATCGAGGGCTCATTTTTTTGTGCTATGTTCATCGCAGCAGGCTCAGTACGTACGCGCGGCACTCAACCGACGACTTTTGTCCTACCTCTTGTGCATACCACAATGCGTATACCACAATGCGTATACCACAATGGTACGTAGGTCATGATTTAACCGCATGTGCACAGCAGCACGTACCATGCAACTGACTCACATGATGTCAACGTCAAGCCGTAAACTGTCGTGTGCGCGCAGGCGAAGAAGGGTTCTTGACGAAACCCACGGGCTACAGTGGGCGCGATCTCATGCGGGTGAGCTTCAGGCCGCCGGGCCTTGTCTACTACGAGAACGACTACACCAAGGTGAGGTGGTGCCTTACTTGCCTTGTTTGCTCTGTACGGCAGGACGACGTAAAGGTTGTTAGTGTTTTTTTTGTGATGGATCTGGTTCCTCTGTGTCTTGCTTTGCCACGCCGGGGCGTTTTTTATATATTTTATCCGTCTCAAGCGTCTTCTGTCCACGAGCAGACCGGGCGACTGAAGTAGCCAGGCCTCACAAAAGAGGCGGAATCGTGCCGAGCACGTGTACCATTATCCCGTCGCGCAAGTCTACCTCCTTCGGTTGGGGTGCACAGCCATTCGTTCACTCTTTTCGTGCACAGGCCGGGGGGGGGGGCGAGGGTTTGGTTGCGGCAGGTCTAGGGAGAGGACTTTCTTCTTGGAGTCGTTGATACTTCATACTTTTGCTGTGCACAGTAGCAGCAGCAGCAGCAGCAGCAGCAGCAGCAGCTTCTCTCCTCGTTCTTGCACTCGCTCGGGCTCAAATCTCCCCTCCCTTGTTCGCGGGCAAACCTCCCCCTCCGCCCCCGCCCCCCTCCCACCTCCCCTCCCGGCGACGATGATGCAGTCACTGCCCTTCATGGCGAAGGGTCTGCCCCCGCCCCTCCGGGTTGTGTACTGGGCGATGAAGAAGTTCAACCTGGACAAGCGCGTGGCGATGGAGGTGAGCGGATAGCGACGCGTACGGTGGCAGCGGCACCAGCGAGCGCGCGGAAAGGCTTGCCCGCGATTCACTTCTCTTATATCTCTCTGTTGGACTTGGACCCTTCGGCGTTGCAGCCTCTGCCGCATCGAAGAGAGGACGGCTTTCCCAAATGCAACCCACCCGAATCGAATCGAACAATGACTTGTTCTTTTCTTCCGTTTCGGCTTCGTGGTGCTGGGGTCAACGCGTGAGAAAGGCTTTTGACGTGCTGGAGATCGCGTTTGTGCCTGTCCCGGAAATTGGATGCGTGTCTCGGGGTGGAAGGGCGCCCTTGTAGGAGGGAGGCGTTCTCGGTGCCGACCGGGCCGTCCCGCTACGGCAAAAGCCGGGGCCCACGTGCAATGTACAGCAGCAGAGGATGGATGTCTGTTTTTCTGTCGGTTGAATAGTGCCGGCCGTGAAATCTCTGGGCACGAAGCGTCCACTCCTATACTACAGCCTATATATTCCTGTCCTGCATAGCGCCGGCATCCGGCGTAGTGCCCGTAGTTTTCGGGGCACATACCGGCACGATAGACGGACCTCTACTGACAGTTCATAAGTGGTACTGCTGTTTGTGTGTTTGCAGGCACTAAGTCGTCCAACACTCCCAACACATGCTCGCGTTGTGGCTCTCTCGTTCGTCGATCTTACGCACGAACCCAGCGGACGGACAGGGACCCAAGCGACCGGTGCCTCTTTTACTTCATCGGATACGCGGTGCCCACCTCCCCCGGCCGGTGCAGAATATTCACAAGGTGGGGCCGCTTGCCATGTTTGGTATTTTTTGGGACAAGTGCTGCACCCTCGCAACAACGAAAGTCGTGCCTGCGAAGCTGGGACAGGGTGCATGGTGAAGCTGGCGAGATTTGGCATTTGTTTATTTGTTTATGTTTGGCGGAGATGAGTTGTGTGGTATGATGCAGTGGTGGCTAGGTTTAACAGAGGGTTGGGATAAGCGCAAAGCACTCTCGTATATCGGATTTTATCTTAAGTATTACCTCCTGAAACGTACAGTACCGCAGCTGCTTACCGTAGCCGCTACTGCTGTATCTGAGCAATTGCGCCGCCTGCGATGCGGCAACACACCTTATTGGTCTCGATTGGAAAATCTAATTCATCACCGAGGCTTTCGGGGCGTGACGGTTTTAGCAGCGGACCGAGAGCGTCACAGGCGGTCGTGTGTCGTGGATTTACCCCAACACAATGACGCAATACTTCAGCATGTGTGAACAGATCCGTTTTCTGCTTGACACCAATAACTTGGTGATACTTATGCTTCACTCTCAATTTTTTTCAGCGCGGCACGCACGAGTTTGCTGCGCAGCTGGGACACGTATTTTCTCCGCCGTTGTGCGTGTGCCGTGTGTACTGTACGTATTACACGAACAGGCCTCCTCCTTGATCCGCTGCCGTTGACGCCTGGACGCTCTGTGCTTGCTGTTTGCTTGCTCGTGTGTTTCAATGCGGTGCGTGGCGGGGCTGGGTTGGGTTTTTAACGGTGTGGTGGTCGGCACGCGCGCAGGTCCCCCCGCAACTTCTTCCTGCAGCATCCCGTTATCCCGCGGCGCTGGCGCAACAGTCTCGCAGGGGAGCACCTCGGTCAACACAAGGTGCTGGACGGGGACAGCACCGCCCTTCACGTGCAGGTACGCATATGTATGTCAGGGAGGGAAGAAGGGGACGGCGGGGGGGGGGGAGAGACCCCAAGCTTTCCCCTCAACCTTGCCTTAACGGCCTCCATGCGTGAACGGGAACATCGTTTGGCGCGGGATTTTGCCAGACGGTTGTCGTTGTTGGTGTTGGTGGTCGTGGTGACGTTGTTGTTGTACTTGTTGCTTTGCTGCCTGATGACGACGTGATAGTTTACCGCAACTTCAGGCGGTTTTGAGGTAATAACTGATGCTTTACCAAATAATCCACTTCGGTCGCTACCCATGTCTCAAGGAGTCCCTACAGTGTACACACAAAGATGTAGACTTGGTTGTACCCGGCGCTTTCTTCCTTCGCGCTATGCTGTCCGCGGACACAAGGGCGTTTTTTCGCGATGCTGTTCATTTATTGGAAGACGTGCGCGCCAAAAGCGCAACGATCGAGGTCGCATAGCGCAAGAGGGCGCTCAAGTTGTCGAAGTGACCTCTAGACATGGTCGCATCCCCCCAACCTTGTCTGTCCGTCTGTATGCCTGTCGAGGACGACTGCAGTCATCTCTTCCTTTACACACATATACAGTAGTAGGTATGGGCAAAAAAATATGTCTGATGGTTTTGATGGCATTGAACCCGCCGGGTTCAGATCCTGCCTCCCATCCAACAAAAATATCGTATGTCGCGGGACAAAGAAGAACAGTACAGGTTGTCGAAAACTACCGTTGGCACGCTAGTTGACGCGACGGGCGGACGTAGCTCACCCGAAAAGAAAAAAAGAGGTTCAAGGTAGGTCAACTGGCCACCAGCCTGCAGTCAAGTATTTTGCCTCCCCCCCCCCCCCCCCC